GGGTGAGCATAATCTGAGTGCGTTATGCTACACATGTGTATGAACTTGTCGAGGAACAAATTATTTTTTAAGAAGATATTCACTTTGCTGAGAAAAAGATCCAATTCAGCTTAACAGAAAAAAATAACTTTGAATTCAAAAGACCCAAACAGAAGTTCAATAGGGATGTACACCAGTTTAATAGCCACTTTTGGAGAGGTCTTTTCCTGTACTATCTTGACTGTGTGGTTTTGTTTTGTTTTAGAAGCTAGTTAGAATAGGTGCTGGATGACATCATCCTCATGAACTATCACTTCTCCAATAAGTAACGACATAAAATAAAAACTGGTCTGTTTTGGTTCAATTAGTTCTAATTATGTATGAACTTTTCCTTTCTAGATACCAGAGTCATCATGAATCTGATGAGTGTTCAAAGTTTGATAAGAACAAGAAACGGCTTCAAAATATTTCACAATACAAAGCATTAATGAAAAAACTTGAGGTATTTGTTCTGGGGAACCAGAACTTTCAGCAATTGCAGACTCCTCAGTCAGCCTGACATAGTTTTACAGATGTGGACAAGCTGTAACTCCTGGGTCACACACAAAGGACATGCTACACCAGCATTGTCCTGCCTCTTGCCCCATTCCCACGGGACAGCTCCATGACATTTGGAGCTACGCATGCACAAACAGTGGGTTGCTGGATCAGAGAGGAATGAATTTGGGAAATACCAGTCTTTTGTAATGGGGTGCAGGCAACCCTGCTCAATCATTTTTCTCAGAGGAACAGATACCATCTCAAAGCAAACCTCTCCACACAGAAAAGCGTCTTGCTCTTTGCCAGCAAACACTCAGAAACACAGGCCTGCAGAAAGTAGGTTTTCGGTAGTGACTACATCCTGAGAGCAGTTACGGGAAAGCATCATAGAAATCTCCAACATCCCAAATACAGAACAAGATCCACTGATGAAAAAGTACAGGAAGAGATTTGCCAGCTGATAACAGTGTGCTTTATACAAGAGGAAGGAAGAAATGTGATGAATACCTTAAGAAGTTAGGTGAGGTCAGGAAGAAGCCAGGCTTTCCTCTGTCACTAGTTATTAAGGGAAAAAGCATGTAATAGAGAAATTTGATAGATTTGTAGGCTTTTTCCTGCCCTCAAACTAGTAGAGGAGAGAAGGTAGCAAGTCCAGTAGCACCCCCATGTTGAAGAAAGAACCCCAATAGAAGCTTAAGGCCCCAGCCTGCATCCCACATAAAATGAAGTTTTTTTCTTGTGCTTGCATACTTGTGATAAATTCTAATTTATAAGTTAGGGTCATTAAAGGGTCAACAACAATAGAATAATTATAATTACTTATTTTTTTAAAAACACGATGTGAATATTATCTCTCTGTTTACTTCTGGAATTTTCCATGTAATGCTTTCAGACTGCAGTTGATCACTTGCCACTCAACTGCTGAAAGCAAACTTCAGCTTCGGCAAAGAAAAAAGGCAGAACAGAGAAGGGTAAAGTCTGCTTTCAAATTCTAGCTACTTCTTGGATGGTAAGTGTTCTGAAGCTCTGGCCAGGTCCCCAGAGCACCCAAGCTTCCCTTTGATGACCGAAGGACAGGACAGTAGCCACAGTCTCTGTGAGCACTGTTGGAGTCCTCCTTGTCTGTAATGCACATTCCACTAAGAAAACAGCTCAGAAGTCTGGATCAAAGAAACCTTGAAGCCTTATCCTAGATTGATTAGTCTGTATTTTAAGAAAGAATCTTTGCTAAAGGATCTCTTAAAATCTAACTGGAAAGAATGCTAACACCTAAGCTTAGGATATTTAAAAATAATACATCAGCTAAGGGACTTTTTTTCCAAAACAAGTATTTCCATGCTGTGGAAAGAAAATAAAATTGTAACATTTGGGTCAGTCAGCAAATGGTTATTCTTACGCATGGACTTATTAGCTGGTCCTTTTGTCTGGATGGCTCTGGATAACACACGGACTATATGATGTGATGCTAGGCAGTGGACAATGACAGATCCGGATCCATAAGCAAAAGTGAAGAAAGAGAAACTGGGGACAAGGACATGTTTCATATGCTATGCCTGTGGTCCTGCCATAGGGCCTGCTCCTCTGCCTCTTTACATGTAAAGTGGGACACCCAGCACAGGTAACAGCCATCTTTCTTTGTGGTTCTTGAAGTTCCCAAGAACCCATGAAAATCTGCTTCCTTCAAAACAGGAATAAGCTGGGTTTCTGGGGGTGGTGATAGTACTCGGGAGCGAAGGGGAAATTTCTGTTCAAACAGGCTTTAAATGAAAGTCCTTTTCCTCTAAACATAAATATATTTATAAGACCGTCTGTCTAGATATTGTGAAAATCTATGGAATAGAGGATCTTAGAGGATTTTGAGACTCTTTGGGATGTGGCATGAGTATTCATGTGTAGCAGGAAACTGGAACAAATTTCTGCTCTACAATAAATCCAGCAGGGCACTCTAATACTAAACACACACACACACACACACACACACACACACACACACACACACACACACACATACACACACACTAAAGAGCAGTTTGGAAAGGGCCCCAGACTGGCTAGGTCCTGGTTCTTCTAGCCAAAGCAACTGTAGAATAGGAAGGGCTTGTATCTGCAGAGTGGACATTTGCCTGGATATTTCATTTATCCTTTTTCAGAAGAAACAAGATGTACAGACAAATCTTAGAGGATTACTTTTCAGGCAAACAATCCCTTTGGGCACAGGCCAATTTGACCCTGGATTGCGTGTGCCCAGTGCTTTGGGTACCATTTCTGGAAACTTCATTATAGATCAATAAATGAGACACCCACCTCAGACGTTACATGGTTTTTCGGGGCTTACAATACTTCTGGAAAATAATCAGGTTTCCATATGCTTTACACATCAATTCTGAAATTGACACCTGGAGACTACAAGGCTCATGTTTTAATTATTTACGGAGAATTTTATTTTCAGCATAGTAAATGCATCAATATACTTAAAAACTGAAATCTTTAGAGTGTGACACCTGCAGTGCAGACAATAAAAAGGAAACTTGAGTACATTTATTTTTTCTACGAAAATAAATATCTGCAGAATCTAGCTTCTGCCTCCTAAATTGTGTATATTCCCTTGACTTTAACCCTTGAAAATAGAATTCCCCATACTGGTATGCTTATGAACCCAACAGCAGGAATTTAGTTCATCTCCTTTATACCCTAAGTTAAACATGTTTTATGCCTGTTTATATTTTAAGAGGGTTCTTGGAGGAAGAGATGTTGATCTAAAACTTGGGGTGTCTAGAAAGACATAAACCATGAACTTAGAGATTTAGAGATCAGGCTACAAATGTCATTCGTTGCTATGTTTCTTTCTGAATCAAAAAGCAAATCCGGAGTGACCTTGAGAAACATTTTCCCCATCCTGAGATGCAGATCCACATGATAAAGGTCAGCTCATTATAAGTATCTTGTTGGATAGGCAATGCTGCCCTGTAACTCCTGTAACCAGGAAGGTGGGAGGGGGCAGGATTTGGCTGACATTTCTAGAATGTGCTTCTTACCCCCAAGGAGCTAAGAGTAACGGTGAGTGAGTCTGTTTCAGGGGACAGCAGTTTATTCTGAAGAGCCCAAAGGTTTTTAATCACTTGAGGTACTCTTGCTTTGGACAGAGGATGGGGATGGGTCTCAGTGAGGGCAATAGAATAAGTAGTTGTAATCTACTGGGAAAAAATCGAGTGGGTAAGAAAGAGAGAAAGGCTAGAAGAGCAGGCTTGGGGAGGCTCAGTGAGCTTACAGGCAATGCCTGGGCTCAGAGGCATCAAACAGGGTGGGTGGCTATTTCTGTCTATTTCTCTTATAGAAATAGAACTTGGGGTTGCCTCAAGGAAGGGGGTAGAAACTAGGATCATCACAAGGTTCTTCGTGTTGTTTTCCTTATTGTAAATCTACAGAGACTCCCCCTGTCACCAGTGAACTTCCAGCCCTACCTTTGTCTTTCATGAGGGCAGCTACCTCTCCATTGCCTACTCCAGCCAGGCCCTCCCAGCTCAAACTTCCTCACTCATATCATCTTCTTACTCTGTAGCCTGCTCTCCTCCCTTCTTTGAATACATCCATGACACCTCTCTCCTCATAGGTCAAGTTCTGGGTTCTGTCAAGACACTAACTTACACTGCATCAACGTCTGTACCAACAGCACAGATGCTAGCTTCCACACCAGAGCAAGTGTCTCTTGGAATGCTGTCTTCACTGTTTCAGCTCACATCCCTCGCTACCCACGCTTCATCTTCTGGGTCATTGTTCAAATCATTAACCCAAATCTACAGAACCAAGCCCTAGGAAGCAAAGCTGCAGTTTATCCAGAGGAGAAACTGAGCAAGTAGGAGAATATTTGGTGGGATTTTGAGAGTTACTCTTTATTTGTTTTTTTTTCATATAGGGTATCATGTAGTCCAGACTGGCTTCAAACTCACTATGTACCCAAAACTGCTATTATTCTTAAACCCTTCCATACTATTTGATAGATTCTTACCATGCTCGTGTGGGACATTTATAATACAAATAGGAATATATATTAAGCTCCCCCAAATGATTCTGAGGTGTCAGAGACTTTTTCCACTCGACCACTCTCCAGGCTTGTGATAATTCCACGTATGCACATCGATAGCACTCCTCTCCCTTGTAATCAGTCCCTGGGGGCGTCTCTCGCATTCTCCTCCCCAGCCTTCTGGGAGTCCCACCCATTCTTTCTGCCTGGCTACTGGCCAGTCAGTGTTTCATTCATCAAGCAACAAGAGAAGCATATATACAGAAGGGCGCCTCTCCCTGCCCCTTCCCACATCCCTGCCTTTTCCCTACACCCGTCTTTAGGATAGGCTGCATCATGCCAGATAATCTGCAGGTACCCTTCATGAAAGGCAGGTGAATGGGATAATTTTTTCTATTCCCTCTTCTCTTTTAGGAAGATGCTACCCATTCACTAGCACACGCCACCACCAGAATATTGCTGCATTTTGAAATTTTTTATTCGATAGCCATATATAGATATAAACACATACTCCTCTTATAACCATTGTCTTCTCACTAGGTGGCCAACTTCCTTTAAAAACAAAACCTTGAAGCTGCACTTGTAACCCATTCGTTCCATCAGAAATGTAAAGAGAATGAATTATACCTCAGTGCAGGTATTATACCTCTGCAGGTATTAGCCATAGGAATACAGAGACTAGATGAAGCCTGATCATTTCAAAACTTGGTAAACTTTTGAGTCTAATGTTACTTAAAAATGAAAATGACAGCATTCTCATCCAGGGTCACCAAGTAAATAACTATCTTTCCTAAGCCCACCGCTGCTTCTTAGCGCTCCCCGCTTTGGGAGAAAGTAAGTGCCAGCTTGTGGTTGTCTCTGCACTGGCTTTGTCGCTCTGCCCAGAACTTAAATGTGTACAGAATAAAACAGAGGCATGATTTGACAAAGGTGGCCTCTTCTCGGCTTGGTCCTCTGGCTCACATCAGATTTTCTAATTGTCAGTTCTCTGTTCTGATCAGAGACTGCTTCAGTTGATAGTGGAGTCTAGTGTTGGTGCTCTTGGTTTCACCATCACATCTTCAACAATATTCATTGACTGAGTAAACACAAATGTCTGTACCTTCCTACTCCGGCTTTGGTAATACAAACTTTCCAATATCCTCAAATAAGAAACCTTTAACACAATAGCAAGTTTATGAAATAATGGATCATTGTCCTAGGGCCAGATATGGCTAAAATTCGATTTGTTGAGAACACTAACAAAAAGGAAGCTCTGCACAAACATAAAGCACTTTGGCCCCTCGGGTGGGCAGTCTATTTTGTCCCTGCTAAGCCAGGGCATGATCAAACTGTCCTTTCTCTAGGCCTTCAAGCCCATCAGCCCAGGTCGAGGTTGGCATGCTCCGGTACGGGTCTAGGAGAATCCGGAAGCACCTGACGATGAGGATGCCCAGGAAGATAAGCAACAAGACCACGAAGACAAACGTTGTTTTCTGTTCCAGAGACATGCTAGAGTCTGACAAGTTCCCAGAGGGCACCAGGGGTGAAGGCAGGGGCTGTCCTCCCTCCATCATCCAGGGAATCCAGAGGACAGGGTTTCCTGGGTCCCCTCTCTTCCATCCTCAGTTTGCAGAGACCATGGTGGCTGCTCCCGGGAGAGGCTGTGTTATCTTCAGGGAGAAAGAAAGGAAATAGAAAGTAACTATCAAAACCTCCTTTTCTTTTTTTTTCTTTCTTTTTTTTTTTTTTTTTTTTTTTTTGGTTTTTACGAGACAGGGTTTCTCTGTTTTGGAGGTTGTCGGTCCAGCCTGGCCTCAAACTCACAGAGATCCGCCTGCCTCTGCCTCCCAAGTGCGCCACCAGCGCCCGGCTCCAAAACCTCCTTTTCTTGAGTCACAGCCACGCTTCTGAGATGCAATCTATTAACAGACTACCCTTTACACCGGAGAGACTTAATTCTGTATAATTATAGAAAAGAATATATCTCCTTTGCACGAAATTACCAGATTGTCCTTCGAATGGCCACCTGGAACCAGGAGGGCTGGGCAGGGAATGCAGATACAACAGAGAATGTAAGTGTGCAGAACAATGTTGGTTTCAGCTTGTGCTTGATGTGCAGCTTCTCTGCCCAGGACTCCTTCAGTTTCACCTAGTAAGTTACGCTCACATCACTCTGAAAATGCTGCCAATCAAATGGTTGAGCAACACCTGTGTGTCAGCACCATGACACACTTGACATGCATGAGTCATAAAAGCAGGGACCTCTACAAGTCCAGCGCAAGGAAACTGAGACCAGAAAATGTGTTTAATAGAGAGAGTCTCAAGGGAAGCATGGACTCAGGTTTTCTTTTTGCTGTTAAATGAATGTGGGACCTCAGAGCGATCAGTAAGTTGTGAAAATGCATTCAGAATTGCCTGCATACCTCTCAGTACTGTGATAAGGACAAGCATCTGTGAAAACCATATGAAAAGCATACAAAGAAGAAAAAAGACCGTGTTGCTTCTCTTCATACAGGACTAAGGGAGAGACTCTGCTTTCTGCTGCCTGAGCTGAGGGAAAAGGGGTACTGTAGACTCCTAAACCATGAAGGAAGAAGGTGTTTTATCTTTGTTCTTCAAAAAGCAAAGACCAGGTTCAATACTTGACCCTGGGGAGGACCTAGAGAATTGAGCAAGGGGAAATGAATTTGATCAACCTTGGCTAAAAAGGCAGCTTTCTCAGTGGTGGCTTCCTGTCACTTAATGCCATTCCATTGAGAGAGAGACAGAGAGACATAAAGAGAAAGCTATTACATTTCACTGTTTAAAACTGAGGCATTTAGAAATTGCTATTTGCTTTTAAATGCAAATAACAGAATACAGAAAAGTTATTAAAATCTTCAGGTACCATGCTACATCGGCTTACATTTTGTAAAGAAAAGCATACATACTAGACAAGGCCACATTGAAAGTGATATGACATACTGCTTATGACTTTTTTCTGTAAGATAAAATATATAATAATGTGGCTGGCCACAGAAATCAACATGACTCCATAGAAATTATACTCAATAAAAAGAGAAATTAGGATCTAAAGCATCAATGCTATACTTCTTCAGTTCAATTCCAGTCATAACCTTTAGTACACCATTAGTCATCAGAATAACAGAATTCATGTGATTTGACACAGAGACAAAGAATAGAACCAAATCCCGGTTTTAAAACAGGCTTACACAGGGAATAACTACCAGGGTCTGAGAGGGTGAAGGTACCAGTGTGGGGGTAATGGACCCTTTTGTGGCTCTATCACTTTAATTGTCGTCTTGAATGCTGGAATAGTTGGGAGTCTCATTCATGATTCATGCTTCTGAAGAAAGGTTGAGATAAAATGTTACTGTATTTAAAAAAGAAATGAGCCCTTTGGAAATGCAGGGGATATCGATGGATTGAGTTTGTCTTGAATTCTCTTGTTTTTAAAGCATCCTCCCTGCCTCAGGTGTTAATTCTCATTTGTTCTGGGGAAGAAGAGGGCAGGACAGTAGCTCGAGCCTCGGATGCAATTTCCTAATCATAACAGACTAAGGTCATCTCTAACCACCAAAAAATATTCATATTGGACTTAATCACTCTAACTGTAAAACTATCCAAGGGCAGGCATAAGGGAGAGCCATCTGACAGTGGGTGAGCACATGTCTCAATTGCCCCTGCCATGTTTTCTCTCACCTTTTCCTGTCCTATGGGTTCCCCTCCCTGTGGCCCCTGCTGTCCTGGCCATTCGCTAGAATCCCAGCCTGTGTCTAGTGTTCCTCTAGTCCAAATGAAGTCGTCGTCTTTTCCTTTGCTCTCAACATAGCAAAGTATGTGTTTCTTGAATTTCTTTTATGAAAACAATGCACAATCCAAAAAGTAAATGCAGGAAAAGAGAAGATAACCGGTTATATAAATTTACAAATAATGATATCTGGGATCTGTGACATCAAATCAAATCGGGGAGAACCAGAGAGAGAACCCGTAGGCCTGGGAGACCAACCCTAAGCTATGGCTGACCAGAGCTGCAAAGCCTTCTTCAGGCCCCATTCCTTTTCCCACTGCTGGAGTCTGAGCAACAGGGAGTCATCTTGACACCCAGCATCCATTTTCTTTGACCTTCTTCAAACGGAGCAAATGGCAATCATTTCCTCCAGGTCAGTGTTTCATACTTCTTAGGCTCTACCCATAACTCAAGACCTTGAACAGACACACTGTTTACTCAGTGTCTGCAGTGAAGAGCAGCCCATGGGAACCCCTAGGATCTAGCCTCGTTACTCCTCAGATTGCCTGCCCCTCATCCCCCAGTCTCCTCGTAAAAGACTCCGAGGCTTCATTTCTCCACAGTTAACTATTACAGTGGCTTAATAGTCAGTTTCAGTTTGTGGTTTTACTACCCTTTGCAGGTTACCAGACAAATGTAGTTGAAGGTGAAGTTCAGCAACAGATCACCTAGTCAGGCCCGGTTCTATCCCTAGAAACTCACCCTCCTCTCAGGAAGAAGAAAGAGGGTAAAAAGGAAGGAAGGGGGAGGGAGAGAGGGAGGAAGGAAGGAAGGAAGGAAGGGAGGGAGGGAGGGAGGGAGGGAGGGAGGGAGGGAGGGAGGGAGGGAGGGAGGGAGGAAGGAGAGTCAAGAGGCGAAAAGCTGGTTAATCCTCGCTTAAAGCCCGACACCTTCTTTGAGAAGGCTGCATGCAGTTAGACAATGATGATGATAGACAGATCGATATCAATTCGATAAGAAAATGCAAGTGAAAGAATTCTGAAGCCTTATAGCACACTGTGAATTGTAACCCTCTCCTCTCCCAGCATACCACAGTGAGCAAATTCCTACTACAATAACATATTTTGATCTTCTTACTAGGTTACTATTTCAGCAAGGAAAAACACACATTGGCCCCCTGAGCAGTAATTTTCCTATGAGAACTGTCCCCACTAGGAAGAGGAGGAGATGCAAGGGACAGGATGAAGGAGCAAAGAAATGCAGAGGACGGGGCACAGCTCCCCGAGGGAAAGGTATACACATACAAGAGCAGAGGCAGCAGCCATGGGCGCTGTAGCAGATGGATAAATGGGGGGGGGAGATGGTTAAAAAGGGAGCAGGGGACAGCGAGATCCAGAAACCAATGCCAGCTACTTCACAAATTCACTTAGACTCGATTGAAATCTCTCTAAGAGGATGCTTAATCTGAAGGCTGCAATCAGCTAATCAGTAATTTACAGACTTAAAAAGTTCAGCAGCATGTTCAAATTGAAGGAAATATGGGATAAGAGACAGAGAATGAAGAAGTAAACTTCATCGCTTAACCACCACAACTCGCAAATATTCACACTCCTAAATTTTCAAAAGCCCGTCTTAAAGTAAAATGTCCTTGTTTCGGGAAAAAAATATTCTTACAAAATGTCCAGTATTATTTTTAGCTAAATAATGAAATATTTCTTTTATGACCAGAAATAGTGATTTTTTTTTCTGTAAATGAACAGAGACATCTGAGGCAGCAAACCATTCCAGAAGATTTTGGCACGACCATCGTAAGTCTTACTAATTGCACATGGTAGTTATAAAGAGTATAAAGAAGGACTGTGGTTACTCACAGCGGTGTCTGGCCCTGGTGGGCTCTCCCCATCATTTGGAGCATCTGTGTCGTCTCTCTGCCAGGTCCAATTGTGTGTGCTCAAGAAATAAAGTCTAATTTTAATACTGAAGCAACACGATCTCAGCTCAAAGACGCCATGGGAAATTATATAACACACCCCCTTTCTCGAGTCAATCTCCATGGGACCTCTGAAACTGACAAAGTACGAAGTTCCGAAAGCAGCCCCGAGGAATCAGGCCCATTCTCACTGTTGGTCACTCTCGCTCATCTCAGTAATCGCAAAGCATCCTTCTCTTTGTTTATCTTATACACCGCATTCTGTTCATCCAGAATATAACCACTCCTCCTCCCAGAGGTCTGGGTACCCTAGTGTCCATGGGCCATTGACTCTGAGGGGATGTGATGTTCTGATGTATCCTGGACCACAGAGCAGTAAATGACACAGCAAAGGAATCTTCAATGATATCAACTTATTTCCCTGTTTAAAATGGGACAAACATCAAATCACATAGGAGGTCTAGTAAAATGGCCAAAACGCAGGTCAAAATAAGTCCCAGGTTCTGGAGCCCAGGGGCACCTGGGGACAATGTTCTGATTTTGCCTGCTCACCCAGAACGCCCCCAACACCTCCTGGCTCTGTTTGCCGCACATACTCCTCCTCCTCTGTTCATCAGGGTCTTCATCAGTTAAGCCCTCATGGCTCTACTTTACCAAAGATGGTGCTCCCTGCTCTGCCTCCAGACACTTCCCAGGACAAGTCCCCACAGTGTATGCCTCCTCTCTAGCAGGCAACAAACACCTGAGGAATTCCTTGCCCCTGACCTGGGGTCATTATCTGTTTGGGCGTAGATTGGATCAAATTTCTGGCCCCTTTATAGTTCAGGAAACTGAATTCAAAATGCAAGGTTCCGGCTAACTGAGTCAATGAAGGGATAAAAATCAAATGTCATTCAGCTGAGCTGAGATAAGAGATCATTGTGTTAAAGACAGATCTTGTTTCAAAGAATCACAGACAGTTCAAGTCACCATGGCATGTTAATAGTTGTAGATATCCCGCTTTGAAAAGCTGATAGTTACTTGGCTCTTTGGTTTTTCTTTGCTACAGCGCTGATGGGTAGGGTCCAAAATATAATAAAACAATCAGTCATGCAGAGGCAACTACCCTTCTGGAAGAGGTCATTCTTACATAATCTACCTCTTGAAGAAGAATTTGAGCTCATCATAATATACTGAATCCTAATGTCTTACATGGAGATTATTAGTGTCAACAGGCACCCTTCTAAGGCTAGAAGCCCTTGGACATTTTATCTAATTTGCTTCTCATTATGCAATTTCACAAAAAGGAAAAATGCTTTTTTATGAGCAAAGTATAACTCAGAGCCATGACATTCTTATTTTTAAAGTGGCAGAGACACACTTTAGCCAAGTGCATTTGTTACGTTGCTCTGCAGAAATGATTTCAGGCCCCTTGACTCTAGAGACTCACACCTAGGGCTTCCCCTCCTGGAAGCCACTCTGGTGGTAGGTATGATAGCTGTAGCTCCTTGGCAGCTCTTCCTGGCACATTCTGGGTGTTCAATAAACAAGCTGCAGGGAAATAGTGTTTTCTCTCTTTACCATTCTTTTGTGCAAAGTGAAATTTCTTTCTAGTTTCTGTTACACAAATATAGTACACAAAGGCATAGAGAATTATGGAAAAACTGCCCAGTTAAAGTATCTCCCCTTCCCCCAGATGATGTGTTAGGATGAGTTGGAAGCCTCATCCCTCTGCTGTTAATGGTCTCACAGTTAAGCAATGCTGTCTGTTTCACATACTCTGAAACCACATAATTGCCGTGCTTAGTTTTTAAAACTTCTAGGCCAGAAATCTAATTTCATGAGTTGACCTGTTTTTAAAACGAGGTGTAAACACAGCCCATCCATTGAACAAGAGCAATCATGGGCTTGTCCAGTTTGCACTGACGGGACACTCTGTCCCATGCAAAGCTCCTCTGTGCTTCATTTGTATTTACCTGGCAGAGTTGGGAGACAGCTGTTAGACAAACAGGAAGGGAGCTGGCTAGATAGGCAGGGCTGGGTTTGTTTGCAGTGTCTGGCAAAGACAAACTTACCTAAAGTGTTGCAGTATTCTGCAATAGGCCCAGCACTAACTACTGAAACAGGGTCGTGACTTGCAAGGATTAAGGCTCAATAAACTCAGTCTCTACTTTTTGTGTTGAGGTCTCGGCCACACTCTCACTGTCAGAACTGATGTTTCTCCCCTATGCCTTGCTCTGACACACCTACTCCAGGTATATGAACCTCTTGGGCGAGTCTACAGTCCATCACCAGGTCCTACAACTGTGAGCAAGCCTGCAACATGGGCCTCCTCATTAACTGAATAAAACCAAACAACTAACAGCTTTTCAAGTGATGAGATCTGTAACTATGAGAGTGCCCTATGATCCTGTCACTGTCGTGTGAATCTTTCAGAAACCCTTCATATCATCCCAGGGGATGGTATACATACACTTGTGTATACACACTGATGCAAAGTGTTTCATATAAATGCAAGTAATTCATGGTCCAGGCGATCATCCAAGAACTCCAGGTAAACATATCCTGGGACTTTTGAGTGCTTCATGTGTTTTAAATCCTCCCATTCCACCTTTACTTTTGGTTGACATAAATACATGGCAACATTTTTTTCTAAATATAGCCCTCCTGTTCCAAATCAATCCCCACAAGCTTGAAAATTCACAGGACAGCTGAGGGTGAATATTATTTTATGCTCTTGAAATATATGCTCAAGGATACTAGAAAGCTCACAAGAAGTATTTTTTTAAAAGACATGCAAAACCGCTCGGCTCCAAATGTCAACAGGCAGTTTCTGCAGAGAAGCCTTTTTACACTGTTGTACTGGAAGGCTTCTCTGCTCCTCTCTGCAGAGTCAATCTGCAGATACGACTGTTTGCATTTGGGAGTGGACCCTGTCACTGCTGCTGTCACCCCTGGGTCATCAGAGGACATGGCTCTTAAGCCAGAGCCCCAGACTCCTCTATAGCTTTCTCAACATTATCTTCCTCCTAACACCTGCTGAGAGAGTTTTAAAGAGACTGCAAGGAAACCTGCAGCCCGGCTGAGAGCACCAGAGAGCAACCATGCTGTACCCAGACCATAACTGGGCAATCCAGAGGCACCATCAACGAAGTGGGACTGTAAACTTCAAGTAATGAGCCCGCCAGTTTCTTGGTTTTCTGTCTCTTTCCTTGTGTGTTTTGCAGCAGAAGAGAAGTATTTAGAAACACCTCAAAAGGCTGCCTGGGGGCAGTCAGCACTGAGTATATTACTGAGTTGTGAGCTCTTGTAAACAAGTCAAAATATTCTTGCTGCCTTTCAGAAGGTTGGGCTTTTCAAATGGAGGGGGAAACTGTAATGAGCAAACAGTCTTCCAGAATAATTTACTGCAGCTAAGAAAGAGGGAAGCCTATTTTCCTACTTTTGTATGCAGTCTCAGAACCATGATAAACTTAAGCATGCTATTATAAGTCAGTCACTGTTACATTTAACCTCTTGGGCTAACTTTCTCTAGCTACTGATTAATTAGACTTTAACAGTTCAATTTAAATTCAGGACTTAAACCCAAAAGGTATCTGTGATTATTGCTCATGCATAAATTACAAAGTTACAGAAAAAAATCATCTAATTAGCTCAAAGACAAAGTTCTGATCAAATACCTGGATCTGGCTGGGCAAACGCTTGATCCATCTCCTGGTGAAACAGTTACAGGTAGTTAGAAGCCTGTCTCGTTTCCATTCTTCCCAGCCGGCTGGGCTGAGTTCTAGCAGTAGACAGTGGTAGCTGCGAGCAGCTGAGGGCACACCCCAGCTCCAAAGCTGTAGTCTCAGGCTTGGAAACTTCCCATTAAAATCCCCATTAAAGGGGCATCTTCCTCCTGGGGGAAGTATCGTTAGCGGCCACTACAGCTGCTTCTTTGAGGCAAGCCATGGTTTCAGTTCTGCTTCAGCAACTCTTCAGAGGCTTCTGCTTCGGTGAGTATAGGCAGTATCCTCCTGGCAGTGAGTCTTAAAATCATCCTCAAGAAAAACATTAACATTCAAAAGGAGCGAGAGCAGAAAGAGCATCACTGGGCATCCCCGCACCCTTTCAAAATCAAAGCCATAAATCTACCTATGCCTGTCTCCTCTATTGATTGTTGACACTGCTCCTCTTAGGGCATGCCAATAAGCACCTTGCAGCAACCAGCCCTCATATTGACTATGGTTTACGACCTTCAGGCCAACTCAGTTAATGGAAAGACTTTTAGGCAAGGGCATCACACAGCATTTGAGACACTAATACCCCTTTCCCTGAAGAAAATAAAAGGACTCACAGAAAACAGCCTTTGTGGGAAAGAGAGAAAAGAAATGCTTAAAAGGAAGCAAATCATATTTTACCATCGCTGTAAATTTGCTACTTTGGAGGTGGCCAGGTGTCAGATCTCTTTGGTCAACCAGGACAACTGTGACTTTGACAGCCCCACCTCTACCCCAAGCAGGCCACCTGAGGCCACTTGGTAAATAAAACAGAGTTCCATGGAGAGAGCTATTGTCAAATTAGACTCTAACTGCCTGCCACAATCCTCAAGTTATTTTCCTTCATATTATAGGGTGAAATTATTGTTTTTAAGGTGAAAGACAAAGCAAAGCAAAACAAAAAAGAACCCTAAATCACTTATCTGAAAATACTTCAGCATAACTCTTAAGGAGGAGCATCCCTTGGTTTTGTTCGGTTTGGTGGCCTTATTTTGGTAACTCACCACCTTTTGCATTGGAGTGGAGGCACAGTCAGCAACACCATGCCTGGACACCAAGTGAGGACTGCAGGATAGCAAAGCCACCTCTGTGCCTGTCTGTTTTGCCGCCTCGTCCCTGGGGAGACAACGCCATTACTAAGCAGCCCCGGGTGACTGTGGAACCACTGCCTAGGAAGACAGCCTTATCTGTGAGCATCAGGCAGTGACCTGAGGATGCCCCTGACCCCAAGGCCCTCAGAATCCAGGGCTGCATTTCTGCATTTTAGGGCCCAACGCCAGAATCAATGTGTGGGCTGAGTGTCACCTCGAGAAAACATAAAATCTTTCCCCTGATTTTAAACTCTTTTCCTTTACAATTTAGCTTTACTTACCCTATTTCACATCTCTCTCTCTCTCTCTCTCTCTCTCTCTCTCCTTCCTTCCTTCTCCACTTCCCTCTCTTCTCCCTCAGTATAAAACAATAGGACAGATAAAATCTAGCAGACAGCTACAATTCCGTACTGCCTGCTGACACTGGGTGATGGGGGTATGACCTGTCTTGGCAATGCCAACAGCATGGTGCAGGGAACATTCTGACCCACCCTTATGCATGCACTTATCATTCCATGTGGTAAGAGTAACGGGTCAGAAACAGCCTGCTCTGCTGTGGCTTGCCCTGCCAAAGAGCCCTTGTCTTCAGATACTGTTACAGCCTACAGACAGAGAGATGGGATCTGAAAGGACCCAGGCCTGGGCTTTAACAACTCCACAGGCTGAAACCACCTCTGTTTGTTAGAGAGATGAGCCTTGGCCTGTGTTTACAAATCTCCAGGGAAGTCCCATCCCCCGGGACAACCTCTGTGTAAGCTAACTCCTTCTCCCCTTACTTAGTCTAAGAGGGTTGGTATATTTCTTTTCCCTCTGTTATTGCTACAAAAAGTCAGGCACTAGCCAAAGAACACCTGCTCAAGCTCCGGGCTTCTACTCAGAGCCAAGTTTCGCTGTTTATTTGGGAAGACAGTCACAATCTGTACGATCAGAATTAGCTCTTTCTTTGTCTGTGCAGCTATGCTATATGAATCATCATGGATGCTGAAACAGTAAGAACTTACCCAATGCCACTTACATCGTTCACATAGGCCCTATGCCATTCCTCTTCAATAATCTGTAGGCTGTTCTCTGAATTCGTTCCAAACTCTACATTTCCTAGTATAGTTTTCAAGTAGGGACCTTAGAGCGCTGTACAACCATGTGGGATTGCAATGTGATAACCTGATCTCCTGATACATGAACTACTGTATTTGTTATATTTCCATTTGACCGCCTGCCTGAGATTTGAATTCAATCCCTCAGTAATTACAAAGATCATGGGCTCCTGTTAGTTAGAAATCTGCTTTAAGGACATGGTCCAGATCCTGATTTCAAGCATCATCCTGGAGGGTCTCCAATCTCAGTCCTCTTCTCTCTGTCCCATGCAGCATTTTCCCATGAAGCTCTAGACAACAGACGTAAGAAAAAAGGCTTCAGAAGCCGTCACGTGACACTCACACACTGGTTACAATTGTGCTTCCTCCTAACCCTGATTACACTCTTAAAACAAAATTGAGTAAACTGTTGGCTTTTCTTCAAAACATCATCATTGTTCTTATTAAATCCTGTATTAAAAAGAAGTTTGCACAGCCAAGTGTGATGGTTCATGTGAGTAATCACTGATCTCAGGACGCTGAGGCGATATGGGTTCTAGGTTCCTGCTGAGGCTTACTGAAGTGTGCACTAACAACTCTGGGAGGGAGGATAACTAATCACAGCCCGGGGAAGCCGGTGTCTAGCTGTGGTCCCCAAGCTTCTGGGCTGACAAGCCCACGTCCACTAAATTCCATCTTCTAACCTGGCCCTTCAGCGCTGATCCCACTGACACTGGAGTTCTGTCCTCACGTCTCTGCCAATGCCGATTTCACAGGATCACAATGTTCCTCATTGACTCAACCAAATGAACCCTGTTGGTGTTCATTTTCCTTGCCCAAGGCAGCTTTGGACATGGCTGACCACTCATTTCAGAGCACCTGGGCTAAAGCTACTGGCAGGATCCGATGCCTGGGCCCCTGGGGGTTTCTCCTTTGGTGATCCCTCTGTTACAGCCTCTCTTTTGCCTCCTGGTACTCAAGCCAAGTGTACCTCATGCAACTACCAGTAAATGAGGCATGAAGATGGAAAAGCAAGTCGTCTGGGGCACAGGCTCATCACTTCACTTCTCTTAACCCACACAAGAGAACCAGGCCAGTGGTTGAATGCTATTATTCATTTCTCTGTCTCCGTGGTTAAAAGTAGCAAAATAAGTAAGTATACTGCGTGGTATAAATAATTTTATTTTTTAAAAGCTAGTTTAGTGCAGTTTCTAATACTTGTTTGATTTGCTCAGGTTGAGGTGTGAGTTCAACTGTCTTCACAACTCTGTAAGCATTCAAAGTCTAGCACGCCATTCTTGTGAGTTAGGGTCCATTTGTGAATGTCAGTAAAAGCAAGCAGCTCACATTGGCAGCCTCATGGTCTGATGTTTTCTTCAATGTGGTTCTGGGTATACCACATCTGTACTGGGCACAACACATCTGTATTACACTGTGTGCTCACTTGGCAACGGAGGCATCCACAGCTGAGTAGGATGTTAGATGAGGATGAGGATCAGCAGCAATGGGACCTGAGAGATATATACCCCTCACTGCTCAGAGATGTTACGTGTGCTCTTCCTTTCCCTATACAAATCGAATTAAGAACACATATGGAGAGATGCTACAACATGTTAATGGAAAAACTACTCTGCTGACCCAAGGAACACCTTCACAGAATGCAGCAGCAGTTCTATTTGCAGACAATATTGGAAGCATTTTGGGTATTAGGGAGACCACTATGGACTATTCAATGTTCAAATGTCTTATAGTAAACATCATCGTGGGTAATTTTATTCTTTTAAAATGACTCTTAAAATAATAACAACCTTGTTAATGGCTTTGAAGTATTCAATGACTCCAAAATGTCATACAAAGTGCCAACTGGAGTTTTCTCCTAACTTCCCATCTGAATTTCCACGCCATCATTTTGGACCCATGCTTCCCTCCCGTCTGACAGCTGTATTTCGGAACGGAAGTGCTGCTGCTAGGACAGTGAAGACACCGAAAGGCCAAGGGCATTAAGATGACTGGAAAGTAAAATAGCATGACCCCAGGAGGAACTGACTGAGTAGTTTGCCTTTAATGCCTGACAAAAATCTAGATGTGGAAGTCATTTCACTAACAAAGCAATTTGAAAATACCCAGAGGGAGAAATATCAGCTAGAGAACTTAAAAAGAAATGCTTGTTAAAAAGAAATTGTGAAAAACCAATCTCCGTTTCTGATACTCCAACTTGTGGGAATGGTGGGAGAGGAGGCAGAGGAAGACGGATAAATAGAAGGATGATGGGTGGTCCCTGGGTGTGAATTTCACTTGCCTGAGTGTTGGAGCCTATACTGCATGTGCTTAGTGACTCCCTGAAAAATGCTGAATCTACAAGTGTCTAGTATTATAGCAAGAACAATAATGAATTTCAGTTACAGAACACACCTTCAAACAGTACTTTCCCCCTTCAGGCTGTTTTGCAGATTTGGGCAGAGGCTCATAAGTGTAATTTTGTCAGTAAATAATATCAATTATGTATTTATGAATAGGATATGTAAATATTATAAGTAATATTTATATGGTATAAGTACAAGCATTATTATTTATAATATATATACATATATATGACATATCATATTAAATTACCTCAAAAAGTTTTTAGACATGAATATTTGGTGAAGTCTAGCTCCAGGTAGCTTAATCCAACGAGGCCAGGAATCTGTGGTTTTTTATTGTTTGTTTTTTTCCGGAGTTCAAGTTTAATTGATACTAAAAAAAGAACAGGTTGATTTCTATGACAGGTATATCAGACAGTCTACCCACAACACAGCTCAGGCCATTCCCAATAGTGGAAGAAAGGCTGACCACCCAGTACTGTAGGAAAGACATGTCTTGGATCACATATTTTGTTTTGTGTTTAAGCACAAGTAGAGTATAAGAGATTTTCTTCTGGTGTAGCCTGGCAAAAAATGGCTCCAGTGCTCACTTCTGCTCATAGAAATATTCTTTGCTCTTTTGGACGTCAGGTTTGATGGTATCCTTGCCAGGTTCCCAGCCAGCGAGGCACACTTCACCATGTTTGTCAGTGAACTGACGGGCCCGGACTAGTCTCAGAATCTCATCCATAGATCGGCCGACAGGAAGATCATTTATAGTGATCGGTCAAAGGGTACCTTTATCATCGATAATAAAGAGGCCTCTGAAAGAGATACTTTCATCAGTATCCGTAATCCTGAGCAATGGTGCCCTTGGGATCTGATACCAAGGTAATGTTTGTGGATCCCAATCCTCCTTGTTTCTTGGGTGTATTAATCCATGCCAGATGACAGAAGTGAGAATCCACAGAAACTCCAATCACTTGGCACTTGAGTTTCTTAAATTCTTCTGCCCTATCACTGAAAGCACACAAAAGTGTGGGGCACACAAAAGTAAAATCAAGAGGGTAAAAGACGAATACGACATATTTCCCTCTGTATTCACTTAGGCTGATATCTTTGAATTGTCTATCTGGCATAAGAGCTGTGGCTTTGAAGTTGGGGGCAGGATGCCCAGTTTTTTTTGTATTTCCTGAAGACATCGTGCTATCAGCAGGGCGGAGTCACAGGTCTCCGACAGAAAAACAACCAAGGCGAGCAAGGGAGATGACCAAGAATCTGTGTTCTGAGTAAGTCCCTTGCATGGTTGTTGATGGAAGACATATCAAGGAAATACTTTGAATAATGAAGTCCCTTCTTGAATGTCATAGTAAAGGTTTTAATTCTCTGGGAAACAGCCCCAGGCTTAAAGTTTGGGATATCACAGACTTTGAAACACTGATAAAATCCATGAAACT